AGCCCCTATGCATCACCACTGACAACAGATTCCTTGAGGACTTGCTCCATGTTCTTTCCAGCTATGGAAGTCAGATTGACTTATCTTTAGTTTCCTAGATCCTCCTTCTTCCCTTTCTTAAAGATGAGTACTATATTTGCCCTTTGCCAATCATCCAGGAACTCATCTGACCTCCATGAGTTCTCAGAAAAGATAGCCAATGGCCCTAAATTACCTCAGGCAATTCTTTCAATGCCTTAGAGTGTATCCCATTGGTCCCTGCTTAGTTGAAAAATATCTAGCTTCTCTAAGTAATCCCTAACCTGTTCTTCCACTACTTTAGGCTGTTTGTCTTCTTCCTTATCTTTGCTACCAACTGCACTCATCATATGGTAGCTGACTTTATTTATGAAGACTGAAATAAAAAATGAATTAAAAACTTCAGCCTTCTCTGCATCATTCTTCTGCAAACTAGTGTTTTGACAAGAAAAAATCTTTCCCCAGGTTTTCTGGGAGAGCTTAGCATGACAGAGATGTTTTAGTCACTTAGTACAGGGACTCTTAATTTCCACAGCAATAGTAAGTATTATGACATTAGAGAACTTAAGGAAGAAGGTAAATTAGTCTGGCAGAATTTCGTGTTCCCTTGGTTATGCTGTTTCCAACACCCAAAATAGTTTGGGTATCCCTGTACTACAATGCAGTGCAGATACACCAACAGTGTTTAAGCAGTATGATTCCAGGAGACAAAAAACCTCAAGAGAATAGATTAGATGAGTGGGGAATTTACACTTTAGCTGAGGTTTTTGTGAAGAGGAGTTGCCTGCATATAAAGTGTGACCTCTGTACATTTTGTAAACAAAGAAATTACCCTAAAAATACCGTGAGTTTGTGCCACTAGTGCGTCTTTCAATGAGAAGCTGACTCCAAAATCTACTACCTCACAGCAAAAATGGGTGACCTTATTTCAGATGTAGAAAATTGTTTCTTGATTCAGTAACAAAAAATATTAAGTATTAGTCTTTTACCTGTTGGGACATCAACAAGGTTACAGCTAGAAATGAGACCAGTGGCTTTATAAAAGGCCCTGTATGTTTACTGACATATTAAATATTACAGAATTTCACACAATTATCATATTTGGAATAACAGATTCAGGAGGGTGACAGCATATGCATAGCTAGCTTGGAGAGATGCACAATGGGAGAAGTTTCCACAGCCTTAGTAGCAACTGTGTGTGACAATACACAATGTAGCTGTGCATGTTTAGTGCCATGAAATGCTCATTTTTATGATAAATACTAGGCAATTGCCTGTCATGAATGACAAAGCGTTTCAGGGAGAGTTTACATGCCCCGCACCACTCACCCTTTGGGGCTGGCTGTGTAAGCCAGTGGTGAGCAATTATTTTGGGCAGAGGGCCACTTACTGAGTTTCGCCCTGGGCTCTGTGAGGGGGTGCGGATGTGGGGGGTGTGCGTGTATGGCGAGGTGTGTGTGTGGGACTCATGCTACAAACACACATGCACCCCCACTCACTCTGCCCCTGGCTGCACACCCACCCACTCTGCCCCTGGCTGCACAAACACACCCACCCATGCACTCTGCCTCTGGGTCCACATCCACATCCACCCACCCAGTCCCTGCCTGCACAACCACACCCACCCACTATGCCCTGGCTACACACCCACTTTGTCAGACGCTTCATAGCATAGCATGCGTCAGCTATGCCACCCACCCAC